TTCTATGAGTATGCCTCTAAAGGGGTCTCTAACCCTAATGATTATAAATGCCATAAATTATCTAATTGTTACACTGATACACATATGCATTATCTAAATGAAAACCTAACTAGTATTTGGTTTCACATAGCCATCAGACACTAGTTAACTGAGGGAAACTGGTTTCACATAACATTAGTGAAATTTCTACTAAGTTGTTAAATGATCTCCTAGTTTTCCTATAGCCATCATGTTGATAAGGGAGGGGAAACCTAATGTCGCATAACATCAGTATAGTTCCTGCTCAACTGAAGTATTGGCTCAGGCTCACATAGCCATCAAGCCAAGTTCTAAAGATATTTGTTCTCTTGGACTGTTGCAACTATACATGCATATCTAAGGCTTAGAGGCCATACAACACTGACATCGCAACCTAATCCTCGTGAGTGTTCAAGCTTCGCACCCTAGCTACCCTCTGAAATGCCTCGTGTATTGGCAATGACCCACTAGAGAAACTAAGAAAACCTGGCTATACCTTAGTATAGTTGGACTCACTAAAGTGAGGCATTCCTCTCACTAGCTACTACCTCTCTCGTTCTCCTCATCTATAACTTTATGGGAAAGCTTATTAGTTTATTACTGTTGTTATTTATTAAGCTACTCCATCCTAGTCGGTTGTTACTTAAGGGTGTTTTAGTCATTATCTGCCTCTAGTAAAGTCTCTACGCGTTTTGGGGTTTTACAATGATTTTTGTGTTTGCAACTCATTGGCTGTAACACTAGCTAGCCTGATACATGACTCAAGTTTATCATTGGGTAGCGATACTCTAGTCATTCTTATTGTACTTCTTCCCAATACCCCTTGAAGTGGAGAGACTACTTATACATTATAGGTTTACTAACATTCTTGAAGCATATGTTTTATGCTATTGTTAAATTTGACTTACTTATTGTACTGCTTGTCATTACATCCTCTGTGACGATCCTCATTTTTAACTATTTAATATGTGCTCAACTAAAGATACTTTAACGTATTACGCTTTGTATGGTTACATCAGTTGTAACCCACTCTTACGAGTATTTCTAGGTATCTTTGGTTATTTATGTCCCCCACGGACTAAGTTCCAACATTACGAATCATCCTTAACTCTTACTAGTATAGATTAACTTATTCATTTAGGCACATAAGGTTATTTCAATAATTTTGCATGGTATACAATTTTTTTATCATATTATTCGTATACAACACCACCTTGCTTGTAGGCATGTCCTTCACAATGATCCATCGTTTGTGACTATTTGATATGCACTTCTTTAAAGGTACTTTTAATATATCTTACTTACAAGGGGGTGTTTAGGTTATTTCATAATTTATGACCCTTTTCCAAGCTTAGTTGTTCATTTTTATAGCAATCTAAAGACATTTGGATGCGATAAACGATGTTTTGAATCTTTTGGTATTTGACAATATTGATATTGGTATTGATGTGGGTATTGATATTGGTATTGATACGAGTATCGATACTCCAAGGGTATTGATAGGATTATCGGTAGTAAAATAATAATATCGATACTACAAGAACAATATCGATACTACAACCCATAAAACTCTGAATAAGGCTCGAAAATGCCTAAAAACCCTTCCAAACACTCTAGTTCAACCCAAATCAACAAATAAAGTTTAAAGAAATCTTATAGGTCATCCAACACTATAAAAACATGATCTTTACAATAATAACATCATCTATATAGAACTTATACTCTTCTTACATGTCATTAATCTACTTTTGAGAGTTAAAATTTTTATAAAATGACAAAAGTTGATTATATTATTTTCTATTATTCCACTTTCATACTTATTTCTTGGAGAAATACAACATAATAATCTAAATAGCTTTCTTGCTTCTTGTGGATCTTCTTAATAACAATTTTTCTTTGATGTTGTTGAGTTTGTTCTTCGATAACAATTTCTCATCTTAAATGGGGAGTTGTTTAATATTATCTTATTGAGGTTCTAGATTCACTTCTTGATTAATGAAATATATGAGCACATGGATATCATCAAAAGTGATAATATGAACTAAGTTATAATTCAATTCCTCCCCAAAACAAATTCCTTAAACCTTATTTATCCCTCCAAACTCAACATAGTAAACAAATAATGTTATAGATTTCATCTTAAAAATATTCCTAATTATGAGATAATAAAACTTGTAACCTCAAATCACACAGAATAGCTAATGTAGTTGCTTAATGTCCCAACTTATTATAAAAGAGAACAACCCTTTGTAACATATTGTTGTCTCTTAAGTTGGACCTTTAATAATCACATTCTGATTTTATTTTATTTTTATTTTTTTCCTTTATCTTTTTATGTACTTTTCAAATGAATACTTTCAAACTTATTATTCTCCAGCATTTTTTCCTCTTGCACACAATGAAAAAGAAGCTCATTTAGAATTAATTTCTCCTATTGAGTTGATTAAATTCTATAGGAAGCGATACTGAAATCACAAGAACAAGGAATTCTTCAGAAAAACTCGATCTTAACTGTTTTAAGTCTTGGCAATATGAAACATATCCATAATGTGCTCCTTCATATTTTTGTGTCCCTTATACTTTATAAACATCAAAGGAGTCGAAAGCGATATCATTTATACCTTATTGTTTTAAGAAAATATTTCTCAATTTAATAAAGGAAATCATTGGCCTAAGTAATCTTTTCATATTATATGCCAGTAAAGACTTCTAAAATATTATACTTTATGACTACTAGACTCATGCAATTTGAAAAACATTCACCTCTCAAAATCCTTTCAACCTTTAAGGACGTGATCTTCATGAGAGGTGAAAATTATTATTTACTTAGTGCAAATTATTATTTACTTAGTGCAAAATCTATGTTTATACAACCAAAACCCTAACAATAAATTCAAAATAATGGCTAATTCTCATCCCAATATAGCAAACGCTACATTAATAAAAAGTCTTTGGATAGTAGTACTAACAATAAACGATACTCTTATTGCAGTAATCAAACATGAAAAATAAACTATGTAAAAAAAACTAATCTTTGGATTAATGTAATGCTCACATAAAATATATCTTATAACTGTCACATGTTATTAGCACAGGTGTCGCTTGAAATCTAGCCAAATATTAACTTTCCTTTGGGACAATTAATAAATTCATAAGTCACAAGAAAAACATAATCATCTTGATAATTTAAATAAATCAATCTACACAAAAGATGTCACTTTGGCGGCATTATGTTTCAACTAATCTATCAAAATATCAAATATAACTATAATATGAATTAATTTGTTTCAAAATATATATATTCTATTAACCAAAAATCAAAGCTAAAAAATCGAATTATATATATACACGTATTGCATTAACAATATAAATAAAAACATATAAATATAGTTAACCAATAAATTTCTCTTAATTTTATCTTCCAATTAAATTCAAAGTTAAAAAATAATAATAAATTTGAGTACACTTAAACTTTATCTCAGGATATCAGATGCTTCATTAATATTTCATCTTTAGACAAAATATTCATTTTAAGTGATATCTAGTGCGGTAACTAAACACTAATAATAAGAATATGTCAAGTAAAAACTCTTTCTTTAGGCCGATTTATATACATCAAATTGAATAATTATCAAATATTTATTATTAAAGTTGTACATGCGATTATGTAAACTATTAATCTTCATTTAGGCCGATTAATACTAACATATCTTAAGTTACATGTACATAACATATATATTTTATAAAACTAATATTTTCCCATAATTGAGGTCACTTTAAGGACTTATTGCATTAAGTCGTTTCAAAATAAATATCAGTATTCAAATTTAATATTTCTATAACAATCAAATGTCAAAATTGAAATTTATAATTGTACTATAGTATTCAAAATAACCCAAAATAAGGTTACATAAATGATGCTATAAAAAATTAGAACTCAAGTCTTTGATTGTTTCTAAAGATTTCCTTAAACATGCATTTGATTCATAACTTCATAGATTACTAAAGATAAAATGAATTCAAAATAATCAATATTTAACAAAAAGTCAAAATCAAAGTACATATCAATGAATTAAATCTTTAATCGAATTGAATTGAATATATCAATGCCAAATATATATTCTATAATCTATAATAGTAAAAAAATTGAATTTTCTAATCACGTCATGATTTTCGAAGTAATTATAATAAGATTGTTTAAACGACGTTATTATAAATCGAAAACCTAAATCTTTGACTAATCTTCAATAATTTTTTAATCACGGGTTCACTAAATTGAAATAAAACATGATACAAGAAACTAAAATCAAATACATAACTTTAAAGAATATGCACCATAATATTTCTAATAATCAATTTCCTTCCCCATTGAATCATAGAATTTGAAGCTTTTTTTATACATATCAAAAACCAAAATTGCAATCATTCATAATTTTCATCTTTTGAAAATCATTCTTCACACGTGAAACTACCCTTTTAATATCAAAAGAATAGTTATAAAATTCCTCTTAATCGAATAAAATAAATATGAAACATAATTTTTTACCATATCAGGAAACTTAACAATTTTTGAAATAAAACCCCATAACCGAAGCATGATTGCAAACTAATTGTCCAATGCCTTCAATATTTAAAATTGAATTGTGCATAAGTAATTCTTCCATGGACAATTTCAATCAAATAAGACAAAGGATAAAATATATAAATAGTTCTTGAACTTTTATGATACTTACATTTTAGTTACTCAACTTTTGAAACTTGTAATACGATCATTGAAATTTTAATTTATTTATTTTAATAAGATCCTTATCATTACCTTCCTTTAATTTTTATGATGTGACAGTTAACCCTCCAATTTTTATGATGTGACAGTTAACCCTCCATTAATATTTTTTTACTTACGTGGAAATTAACCATTCTTTCTTCTTCTTCCCTCCTAATCCAACTCATTCTCTCTATCTCTCTCTCTGGAAGCCGGTACCATGGACTCCGTCAGATCTGGTCCTTTTGGCCCGATAACTTCGTCTTCGGTCAGTCTGGTGCTGGGAACAACTGGGCCAAGGATCATTACACCGAGAGAGCTGAGCTCATTGATTCCGTTTACAGGGTATTTATCATTCTGTAACTTTTTACATTTTTTATCTGCTTGTTTTATTTTATTTTTTCCCCTTAAATTTCTATTGTATTTTTCCTCAATTGGCTTTCTGAAATTAGGTTTGTTCCTGATCTTGGGTTCATTGTGCCGATAACATTTTTGCAGTGCAGATTATACCTATGAAGCACTACATGTTGGAGTAAAAATTGTGATATTTAAGTAAGGATTGTTAAGGCGTTAAATCCATATGAAGATTTCTTTCACTGCTTTTGTGTTAATTGGAATTTATTTTCACCTTTCTTGCTTTGAAGTTTTTGTGGTTGCAGTATGGTCTGATTTTGTCTTTAGCCTTTTGTACAATTGCCACGAAACAAACATATGTTGCAAGCTTGTCTTTTTTAATTCAATTTAACTTGATTACCCAGCCCATTTATAAATGTTTTATGTAAGGATGTTTAATATCAATATTGTCTATCATTGGTTCATTGTTCGTACAATCTTAAGCTTTGAACTTGTTCTTGCTTCAGAGCTTTTTGTTACCAATAGCTGGTCTCAGAAAGCTCACCTGAAAAGGGAAAGAAAAAAGAATATATGCCTTCAATTCTCACTTTTAAGTGTCTTTGGTACAGGATTTCAAGTTTGTCATTCTTTGGGAGGAGGTATTGGATCTGGAATGGGAACCCTTCTTATATCCAAGATTGGGGAGGAGTATCCAGATCGCATGATGTTGACTTTTTCGGTATTCCCTTCCCCTAAGGTGTCCGATACAGTTGTTGAACCATACAATGCTACCCTTTATGTTTATGAGCTTGTTGAGATTGCTGATCTCTATGAAATCTGCTTCCGCACCATTAAGCTTGCCACGCCAACTTGATACAGGTACGACTACCGTCGAATGGACAATGCTTAACTTGGATCTAGAGAGAGAAAGAATGAGTTGGATTAGGAGAGAAAAAGAAGAAGAATTAGCTGTCACGTCAGCCAAAAAAATAACATGTAGCAAAAACTAATGGGAGATAACGGCTTATTAAAAACGAATTAAAAATTTGATGACCGTATTGCAAGTTTAAAAAATTGGATGACAAAAATGGAAGTACCCTAAAAATTTGAGAATTATTTATATACTTTACCCTAAGATAAAGTATGCATTCATGACTCGTGGTTATCATAAAACAAATCTAAATTTAAACTTTAATCCACAAACTTGAAATCACGAATAATTAAAATCCAAAGAAATCGATATCAAAAGATTCAAAGATATATTTAACGTCGGTTTGTTTCACGTAAAATATTTTTTGAAAAATATTTTTCTCATTTTCTAATATTTGGTTGGAGGAAAACTGGTTGATCGATATAAATATTTTTTTGGACAACAAAATTTCATTTTCATTTTTTGGAAAATAATTTACGGTTTATTTTTTGTAAGTCATTTTTCGAACTTTTCACTTCAAAGAATAAATACTCAAAATAATTTTAATTTATATATTTAATATTACTATAATATTTTAATATTATTTTAATCAAACTATTAATTATTAAAATATTGAAAATGTATTTATTAATATTTCTAATAATATAATATTTTTAATATTATAATAATATAGTCAATCATATTATAATGATATTAGATATTATATTATATTTTAATAATATATAATAAATTATTAATAAATTTTTTATTATTTATTAATTTCATAAAAATAACATTATTTAATTATTAATAATAAATAATATTATTTATGTATTTAATATTTATATAATATTTTAATATAGATATTTAAAATATATTAATTAATAATTTTCAAAATATAATATAATACTCTTATTTTATTAAACAATTTGCATGAACCAACTTATTTTAGTGATTAAAGAAATCGTTGTTGTTTCTAGAAGTCAAAAGTTTGAGCACAAACGACTGTAACAAGGTGATTGAACATTTATTGTCACTTGGTCGAGAGTATTTAGAACAGATGTTACTTTGTAATTACCTTAGTTTAAAAAATAATTGATATAATTTATAATATTTTTGTTTCAACATAATGTACTAATCTTAATATTTTTATTTATAAAATTATATAAATAAAATTTTAATAATAAATATATAAATAAATCATTCTAATATTTCAAAAGTAATAATATTAAATTTTTATGTTAAATAATATTATTCATTATATTTAATATTTGTAATAAATAATTTCTATAAAAATCATCAACTAGTGGAATATGGTTTACACAACCTCTTTCAAATACCGTAAACCATTTTTCTCTATAAATGTAATTAATTTTACAGAAAATATTTTCAGAAAAATGTTTTCATTGAAACAAATTTGAATCACCAAAATAATATAGAAAACGTTATGAACAAATCAAATCGAAAAAAGAATAAAAAAATTCAATTTTCAATGATTCAACACGATCTGGAGATGATGTCACTTGTCAGAACCAAACCATAATAAATATGAAAAACTAACAAGGATCTAATCATGTTAAATCATCAAAAATAAATTATTAGATGCAAAAGCGTACATGAATTAATTGATAAGTTGAAATCCTTGAATCTTTATTTAATTTTGATATTCTAAGAAGATAGATTTCCCTTGAAATCCTTGAATTTTTATTTAATTCTGATCTTCTAAGAATATAGATTTCCTTTGAGTATAAACTCTCTGATGGGATAAGAGAAAATACGAGATGATCTATTTCATGAGGACCATTCGTATAACTGATTTAAGAATAAGTTATTGTATGTATTAATAACTATTCCTCTCGTTAATTTATAAATACAAATTTAATAATATCTACACTTCTATTCTATTATCACGATATTTCTAATACCTTACAACTTATAATCACGATTGATCACTTAATTTTATGTCATATTTTTTTATAACAATATACATTAAAATATGTGTCCATTATTATTTTAATTTAACACTAAAACCATTTCTTTGTTCTGCAGGAATCATGATATTTGTGACTGTTGTTCAAACCCCTTTGGTAATAGTTCAAGCACGCACCATGGACAAACATATAACTTCAAACTTCTAAATTTTAGCTGGTTCATTTACCGTGTTTCTGATGAACTCTATAGTTGTATGGATTGCTTTCTATGATCGAATAACTCTTCCCTTACCTTTAAAGATTAAAGAAAAACCAGTTTGTCTTGGTTTGAAACAAAGAATGAGGATTGGTCTTCTTTTATCGTGTGCAACCACCATAACATTACTAGTTGTAGAGTATACTCTACGAAACATGGCGATCCAAGGACTCTCTGATGATATGGCTCCTTGACCTTGACAGAGGAGAAGGAAGCGAACGTTCAGCCTCCCCAGAAGCTAGAGTACCTTGTTGAGGCTCTAGACTCTAGACTTCTATGATCATCCCTTTTTTGGTCATCTATTTACTTGGAGCATAATCTGGATCTTTTCTTGCAAGAAAACTTGACAGAGTACTCATTAACCCCAATCGAGTTAGTACTTTCCAAAAATCTTTTGTTAAATTCCTCCCTCCAAGAGTATCCGAACATTGTATGGTATTAGTATGTCTTTCAAAAGATAACCCCACTAACAGGCCTAAGCCATTTAAATTCTTCAACTTCTGGACCTTACATCCTGACTTCTTGAAAAAGGTTGAATAATCTTGGCAAGTACCTTTTCAAGGAAATCCTATGAAGATCATTTTCCTTAAACTCAAGCACCTCAAATTCTGCTTAAAGAATCTTAACACTTCTTGTTATAGCGACATTTCTTCTCGGGTTAGGAATAAGAAAACTAAACTTGAACAACATCAACTTCTCTCTTTAAAAAGAGAAGATTCTATCGACAAGGAGCTTCAGATCGAACAAGAATTAAACAATCTTGAAGAAACTGAACTTTTATTTCTTAAACAGAAAGCAAAGGTGAAATGGATCAAAGACGGAGATCAATGCACCAAATTATTTCATTCTGCTTTTAATGTGAAGAAAAAGAGGGAGACTATTCGTATGCTCATAGATGATCAAGGAAACAGACTTGAATCATTTGATTCAATGACCCCCGAAGTGATAGCTTTCTATTCTAACTTGATTGGGACTGATGATCCTAAGGTCAAAGGCACTAATTCCCAGTTTTTAAAAGATCTGTTGAACTATTCTCTACCTCCTGACCATGCTTCTAACCTTGTCAAAGAAGTCACCACTGAAGAGATTAAAGAATCTATATTTGGCCAAGGGAATGACAAGGCCTCTGGCCTTGATGGTTTTACTCCTCTTTTTTTTTCAAAAAGTCTTGGTCCATTATAGGTGAGGATGTTGTGGCAGCATTAAAATATTTTTTCCAGCAATCCACTATGCTTCCTGCTTTTAATGCAACCACTATTGCATTGATTCCCAAAGTACCCAACCCAGCAAAGTCAAAGACTTAATGCCAATCTCTTGTTGTTCTGTTATCTATAATGCCATCACTAAAATCCTAGTCAAGAGACTTACAAGCCTCATACCAGATATAGTCTCTCTCAACCAAACTGCTTTCATTAAAGGAATGAGCATTGTTGATAATACCCTTCTCGCTCAAGAATTGGTCAAAGGCTATGGAAGGAAAACCATTTCACCTAGATGTTCATTAAAGATTTACCTCCAAAAGGCTTTTGATACTCTTCACTGGGACTTTATTTCTACTGTCCTAAAAGCTCTCAATCTTTCTCAGAGATTTATTAATTGAAATGAGGCATGTTTCGCTGAAGTTAGATTTTCAATCTCTTTTAATGGAAGCTTGATAGGATTTTTTAAGGGGGCTACAGGTATTAGACAAGGTGATCCACTTTCTCCTATACTCTTTGTTATCTCCATGAATATCCTTTCCAGTCTGCTTAATTTGGCTGGTGCTAAAGGATTGTTTAGCTACCACCCTCAATGCAAAAGAATAGGGCTCACTCACTTATCCTTTGCTGACGATTTATTAATTTTTTGTAAAGGAAATGTGGAATCTGTTGTAGAAGTCATATCAGTTCTTGATCATTTTTATGAAATGTCTGGCCTTAATCTCAATGCTGGAAAATGTATCTTCTTTACTGCTGAATTTCAAACAATAACATTGATCTTATTAAAAGAGCAATTGGTTTCCACTATGGCAGCTTGCCTGTTAGATATCTTGGACTTCCATTAATAACAAGAAAACTTTCTGAAAATGATTGTGGACCTCTGATTGATAGTATTAAATCTAGGCTCAACCTCTGGTCCAGTAAATACTTGAGTTACGCTAGCAGACTTGTGCTCGTAAGAGCTGTACTGTTCAGCATTGCTAATTAATGGTGCAGGCAATTACTGCTCCCTCAGTCTGTAATCAACAAGATTGAACAGCTCTGCTCTCGATTCTTTTAGAAATGCTCAAATAAATCTACTTCAGGTGCGCGTGTCTGCTGGAACAAAATCTGCCATCTGAAATTAGAGGGCGGTCTTGGTTTGAAAGACCTTAAATCATGGAATAGAGCCTGTATTATCAAGCTCATAAAAAATATACTTGCAGACGAGGGTTCTCTTTGGGTTGCATGGATTAATGTTTATGTTATCAATGATAAGGATTTGTGGAACATGGAAGGAGGTGCTAGCCTTAGTTGGAGCTTTAATAAAATTCTTAAACTTCGAACTGCAGCACACCCAGTCCTTTCGAGTAGAGCTTCCACCATTAGGGAAATTTGGCAAGAAATTAGAAACAAGGAAGATAAAGTCCCTTGGCACACCTTGATTTGGTTCCCTCAACACATTCCTAAGCACAGTCTGATAGAATGGATGTCGTTATTAGATAGACTCCCTACTTGTGATCGTCTTTCACGTATGGGGATTAATACTAATGGGATTTGTGTTATGTGTAATGAAATGCTGGAAAATCAGAATCACTT